TACGGTCTAGCCAGTAGTGATTACATTTTCAGATACAGAATAAGCAATCTCACGACCTAATAAGCAGAATAGGAACCTCGGAAGCATAGAGTTGGAGGCCACTTTACTGTGTCTTCCCAGCCTCTCGGAATCTATTCTAAACTTTCCTTATATGCAAAAAAAGCGATGAATTGTAATAAATCCGGGCTAGTGAGCATAATGGCTTCAACACAACGGCTGATCTATGCTAATGAAAAAAATTATCATGCAACCAAAACTACTACATAAAGCCCTGGCAGTTTGTATAGGCGTAGCTGTAACTGAAATATAGGTGCAAAAATAGAGGAAAACAAATCTTGAAAAGAAGGGATCAGAGTGCACTACCAGATGCTATTCCTGACGACGACTTGGGCGGTGGCGGACGAGGAGGTCGCATAGAATCTGATATTAGATTGGAAAATCTCGTTTGTAAATGATATTCTACATTAAGTTGATAGCACTATAATGAAATGATAACGAGGTAGTAATGACAAGCAGACATGCAGTGGTATATTACACAAATCCTCTCTGTCTTTGTTATTCTGGTCTTCGCTCTCACAAAACAAAACAAAATAAAAGCATGCACTGCCAAAGCTGAACACACTTATTGAATGCCGTCCAAAATCCAATTCAAGCATATAATTTGACATGAGAACGATACCAAGCACAGCAAATACAGGAGTATAAGCGATATGAATTTGGTTGCGCCCACACTCAGTGAATTTGCAGCCGAAGTCGTCTTTTCCCGCCGCAGATGGGATAACTTGAGAGAGGAAGGCAAAGTCTGTACTTCGAATTTGACATTCAGATTGCTGCGAAAACAAGAATATGAATGTCGTTTTGGTTGCAAGGTTTGGGTGATTACATGAATCACTACAGTAAACACATTCTTAACAGACAGCTGGCTGCAAATTCACTGAATTTCGATGCAGCTTCGAGTTTTGATGGCAGCAAAGGACACCACATGCAGTGAAAAAGTGAAGTATCAAGTCAACCTACCCTGAATTCTACTCGTAGGTGGTATGGGTGGTGACGTTTGAGGAGGTGCAGAGTTCCTACCACCTAAACACAATCACAACATTTACCTTTACACAAGTTCAAACAGTTCATGCAGATAGGGGCCAGCCAGAGTGTGATACTTCTACATCTTTGGAGGCAGACGCACTTCTGTGAGATCGGTGCACACCCTGGCTGCCTAACCGAACATATTACGTAAGCTCAAGACAAATTCGGCCACAACGAGATATGAGGACTAATTTATGTACTGGTAGCTTTCAAACTCATTGCAAGCATAACTTTGAAAAAAAGCCAAAATGAATGCAGCGCTTTTTATTTGAGAATCTATTTGCCCTTTCAATGGCTCACTTACCAGACCGCGTAGACTGGATTCTTTTGATTATCACTAAAACTGGTAGGAGTACGCAATCGCTATCGGTTTCGGTTCTCATCTATCAAAAAAAAACCCCACTCACCTTGCTTGTTCAACTGCAGTTCTTGTAGCTCGATCACTACAGGCGAGCGGCCAAAATCATTCGAAGAAGCAGAACCATGGTAGGTACTTGTTGACGGTAACGTTGAAGGTAACGGTTTCGAATAATCCGAAATACTCGTTGATGCCGTTGATGCACTGGCGTAACTCGTCAATGAATGGCTGGATGACGTCGCGGAATAACCAGAAGGGCCACGATGAGCTGGTGGTGGAGGTGGAGTCACATCATCATGTTTCGGCTTAGCTGACGGACTCGGTCTGAAATCATGGAGCTATACTTCTGACCCTTTTTTATTTTTAGAGTTACGGATGCAAAATGCAGACATACTGAGGAGTCAAGATCAGTAGAAAAGGTTGTTAAAGTCGCTTGACGATCAAATCAAAAAAAAAAAACGTAATT